CTTGAGGAACTTGCTTCCTTGAGACATCTCTCCTGCCTTGAACTTCAAGACAGGGCAAGATTTCTGTCCAGAGCAGTAGCCCTTAGGAGTTAGTTTGCTGAAATGGGGAAGGAGGAGGCAAAGAGAACAGTGTCTATGAAGGCTCTGTCTGCAAACACAACTGAGGTTGATTAACAGAGTGTGTCAAAGACCACTTTCCCAAATTAAGAGTTTTGGAAGGTGGGGGAATGGGGCAGGTGCAGCTTCTGAGCAGCTGCAGAAACTAAGTCTCCACAAGTAACTTATTCTGACTGTAACTGAAAGAAATGTATCAAGGCAGGAAAATTAAGAAATGGCAAGAGGTAGGGAAGTCTTGGTGTCTCAAGAGCCATGGGAAAGCAAGCAAAGAGATCCAGCTTCCTGCCAGGGATTGGATTCTGCCAAATTGAGGCTCCTGTCTGCTCTATGGGAGAAACCAAACATGAGACAAATAAAAAATCACCAGGGAGGACAGAGGCCTGAAAAAGTGTAGGAATTCCTGCAAAGTGAATCACGTCCTCATTCTTCTTGAGGGTGGAAAAGCTGACCTGTTGCTTAGACATAGATGACTTGTCCAGTTTGTGTTGGAGCTGGGTTCTCCTGCAATCCATCTGGAGCCTTGCTGGTCCTGATGGAAGTGCCCATCTTTGGAATTAGCTTCAAGCTGCTGCTGTTTCCCAGCCTGGTGCGACAGGAGCGGGAGGCTGCTCATCTCTGCACCTTGCTCTGGCTGGGGTGTCCTGGGATGATGCTGCTTTTGGGACCAGGCAAATTGGCAAGTCTGGACGAGACCCATTTGGACAACCTGGTGGCTTTGGAGAACAAGATAGTCTGAGCCTGTTCTGCTATTAGCATGGTGGGCCTTTCCAAAAGTGACTTGACAGCCACTGTCTCGTGAGTTAACGCTGCAGACGTGAGCGCTGCTGGGGTGCACGTAGGGAATAACTGGGCTCAGCTGCAAGTAGACACCCTGTAGGGGTTTGCCATGTTCCTGATTTCTTTTGAACAAAGTGCTGGGACACTGGTGGTGCTGGGTTTATACTGGCCGCACCAGTGAGCTGTGCTTCTCCTGGGAGCATCTGCAGCACTTGGCTGTAGGTGGCTCGTTCTATTGACAGCAGGTGCTCTGCAGCTTTGCTGAGCTGGAATAACTGTTGGATCTGCTGGAGTAGCTGATTCCTAACCCTGGTATGAACTCCTCTGCTGCAACCACGGCCGTGTGTAAGATGCTGTACACCATATGTAGTGGTGTTCTGGATCTTTTGTGATTGTGACCATACCACCATGTCCAGGCATGTACTGCCATCACTATCTTGTCTTCGGGTGATGTCATACCTCAGGAGGAGGATTTGGTGTGGCCTTTCATTGCTGTGACTGGTTTCTGGCCTCGCTGCCAGAGCTGTGTTGGTCCGAAGGCTCCCAGGCTGACAGCAGATCTCTTTACCTGCCT